GATTAAGAGAGCGCCTTCCTCGACCTGCAGTTCTAGGTATTACGGAATGGTATCACGACGAAGGAAGTGAATCATTTCAAATACGTCGGAACTGTGATGACTAGAGATGAAGACACTGATCAAGAAGTGAATTGTCGTACTGGACTGGCATCAGCGATGGCAAGCTGTATAACATATGGAAGGATCGGACTATAGGAACAAATACGACGATTACCATTCTGAAAGCAGCCATATTCTAGATGCTCAGGTACAGTCACGAAGCCCCTGATGTCCTGAAACTTCATGAAACCAGTTTGGACGACCTCTAACAACACTAACGCTACTCACTCAGTATCATCGAAATCCGATTGCACCAATAGCTCATTAATGAAGAAGTGCTTATGCAACTAGCTTTAGAAAACGATCAGGTGAAATCGGAGACCGGCTCCTGATTAGATTTAGTAAAACGGCAAAAAAGAGAACGAAAATATATTCAAAAGTTTGCCCTTAGAACTGCGGATTGACTGCATACGCATAATCATCAGGCAGACCTCCTTGCGAAGAAACAATTTGCTTTTGCCAAGGCAATGATCCTTGCCTAATACCGTTCTGAAATACCATTTCTAACGGCCAGGCATCACGAATCTGGGTTACTCCGTTGTTTAAACAATGTTCATCTTAGATGATGATGAAAAAAAACATTATTTATCCGCTTATGGAATATGCTGGTAAAATATTTTTACAATAATCAAAAAATGACCGAAGCCAATGGCCCTTGATGCCATGCATTCCTATCTCATTATTACATGCCATTGTTGAATTGCAATGTATGTTTCGTAATTATTCACATAGGCGCTCTTTTCTAGTTTGTTTAGTTGATAAAAGCGATGATAAAACTCAGAATTTAGCATCGCCCTTGGTTTCCTCTAGCTTTAGGCTGAATACGATGGCATTCACCAGTACCATCGTCTTGTGCCCCTCGAACAACTGTGGAGTTGCCAGTGGAGACATCTTCAAGGTACACATATCCGAACAATTTCAAAGAGTTCCGCACTACAGAAAGGAATCAATACAAGAGAAGGGGGCTGAGCATGGTAAAATGGCATTGGCAAAATTGCAGAAATTTGCCTCTGCTGCGCGGTTAAATCCGGTACATAAAAATCTTTAAACTGTTTTTGTCATATTCAAGTGTTTCAGTAATTTTATTGACATGACTATTCTACGAGAATAAAAACTTCGTAATCCATTTATTCAGTGGTTGTCTGCAAAACTGTGCTGAAGTCATGATTGGTGTCGACCTAAATATCTTCGTCAACCATACGGAATCGAAACGTGATTCAATTTTAAGTTCGTATAATGTGTATCGTCAATCTGTGATGCTTGACATTGTCTAGAATCATAAAGTCAACCATTTCATCTCTATGCAAGTACTATAAATTTGATCGGGAGTTTGCCTCGATGCAAAGGATTCTGCGTTCTCAGATAAAGCTGATTGAAGTGACATCGCCAGGGCAATGTCAAGCGAAAATAAAGTGTTGTTGGAAAGCATCACACCAATTGCCGTCGTATTATTATTTGACACAAAGAAAGACAAAACCCAAGGTTAGCACAGTTTGTGATACAGGAAAAAACCAAGACTAAACAAGATACTTCATCTTCATCTTCTTCATCTTCCATCGCTGCCTCTCCCTTCGGGTCGCTGAGGCAGACACGTCAGAAAGAGCTTCCAGCGTTTCCGATTCTGTGCCAGAGTCTGAGCTTCCGCAAAAGACTAATGGAGTCTGGAACAGACTCTTTAGATATATTTGCACCAGGTTAATCTTTGCCGTCACCTGGGCCATCTGCCGGTCGGATTTGCAAGGAACAGTTGCTTAGCCTTCTTTCTTGGAGGTATCCGCAACACATCCCTAAGCCGTCGCAGTTGTGACTTCTCAATCTGGAGAAGAAAAGGTTGTATTTCAAGGCTCTGCCGGATGTCACTATTCCCGACCATGTCGAGACGCGTAAGGCCAGCGAAACGTCTATATAAGCCATTTCAGCAGCTTGTACCCGGGTTTGAAGTTTTTCAGTGATGGTCCACGATTCAATACCGCAGGGAAGCATAAGGATAAGGATCGACTTGAATACCGAGAACCTAGTTTTCAGACAGAGCGCTACTTAGTCACAGTGGTTCTTGCTAGTTCACGCAAAACGCCACTGGTTACTCTAATTAGCCGGTCGATCTCTTCCTCGAATTTCCCATCACTAGTGAACACAGTACCGAGGTACTTCAACACCTCCACCTGCTCCACTGCCTCTCCGTTAATCTGAAGAGAGCAACGGACAGGAGAACGAGAAAGCACCAAGCTTTTCGTTTAAGAGGAGTTCACACGCATGCCGGTTACGTCGTTCTCGGTTGCGAAACTTTCTAAGGAGCACTGAAGATCAGTTTCAGAAGATGCTAATAAAACAACGTCATCTGCAAACAGTACCCTTCTCGATTTCACATCTCCTACACCGATACCCCATCGCTTTAGCAGCTCATGACTATTCTATCAATGTACAACGCAAACAAGAGAGGGAACAGGACGCAGCGTTGACAGAGATCAGTGCGAACGTTGAATGATTTCGACTTAACGCGATTAACTCTAGCGCAGCACCTGCTATCAGAATACAGTGACTGGATCGCCCTCAGCAACTTGCCATCAATCCCGTATGCATGAAGGCATGTCCACACTGTTTCGCGGGATCCGATCATAGGCTTTCTCTAGGTCCAAAACACATGTGCACCGGATGGGTGTACTCCCAAGGTTTCTGAACAATCTGGCGCAGGGCAAATTTATGGTCAGAAGCGCTTTGACCGGGTCGGAAGCAATACTGCTCTTCTTGGATCTTGAGGTCAACTATTTTACGAAGACCTAAAGACACCTTTGCGAAGTCTTTACCTACGAGGCTCAATAACGTTATGCCCCTATGATTGGAGCATTCTTTGTGGTCTACCTTCTTGGATACGGGTACAATAACTCCCGTTCTCCAGTCCGCTGGTGTCTTTCACGCAGTCCTCGCAGTTTGACAGACACGTGTTAGCCAGCACATGTCTTGTTCGCCTAATGCGTTGAACATCTCAGGACGGATTTCGTCAATTCCATCAGCTTTTCTATTTTCCAAGCTTTTCACGGT